ATGGCCATGTACCTGAGCAGGAAAAGTAAGGTTGAAGGGTCTTTGGATGCTGATGTTTAGGTTATTTTATACGTATGTTGAAAGCCAGACTGAAATTTGATTTCCGATTCTTTAGTTTGATAAACACAGTGGAAGTGTTTTAGTATTTGGTGCCTCAAACAAGTAATATGTATGTTATTAGGCTCTGTCTCGCTTTCTCTCTTTCTCTCTTTCTCTCTTTCTCTCTCTCCTCTCTCTGTCTCTCTGTCTTTCTATCACATAAACCATCACTGATTATTTTCTCTTTTCCTCTGCAGACGTGATCTCTCCGACTCACTTCAACCCGTACTTCCGGCGGCTGACGTTCGACGTTTCCTCGATGGAGAAGAACGCCTCCAACCTGGTGAAGGCGGAGCTCAGGATCTTCCGTCTTCAAAACCCGGGAGCGCGAGTGTCAGAGCAGAGGATCGAGCTGTACCAGGTACCAGCTGCAAACACATCATATAATGACACAGACAGGAGATCAAAGTTAAACTTCTGATCAGTTACTCTCTGTTACATCTGTCATGAAAGCATGAATGGGCGGCAGTAGCTCAGCCTTTAGGGACTTGGGTTAGGAATCGGAGGGTTGGTTCGTGCCAGGTCGCTTCCCAAGTACCTCCTGACCCCCCCGCCACACACACACACACACACACACACACACACACACACACACACACACATTTTTACACTTTCTCTTCTTCTACTTTATTTAACACTAAAAAAAACAAACTCCTCCTCCTGTAAGTGTGTGTCTCTCTGCAGCAGCTGGTTCACATGTTCACAGTCAGATAGTACTGACAGCAGTTCTGCACACACACACACACACACACACACACACACACACACACACACACACACACACACACATCTTATCCAAATACAGTTTGTGCGTGAGGGAGGACGGGACAGGCCGGTACAGAGAGCTGATAACGTCCAGCTCATACATCACACACACACACACACACACACACACACACACACACACACACACACACACACACACACACACACACACACACACACACTAATGAGTCTGCGTCTTCAGATCTTACAGTTATATCTCTCCTGCTTTACACATAAAAAACTAAATATAGCATTTCTTAATCAAGTCAAAACATTTCCTTCTTCTGTGTTTGTAAAACGTTGTTGTTGACGGTGATCCGGTGAACAGAAAATCTATCAAAACAGTTGAACATGTGCGACGTGTGTACGGCCTTTCACAAGCTTAAAAAGATTTTTAAATCAGCACGGGTACATTACACCTGCAGGATGGAGGCCTGGGTATAACGGCCATGCTTTCACACCCATTTTCACGCAGTCAGTTGAAGCTACCAAGCGGGCGGCCCAGGTTCAAATCCAGCCTGTGGCTCCTTTCCCGCATGTCATTCCCCTCTCTCTCTCTCTCCCTGATCTCTAACTCTATCCACTGTCCTATCTCTACAATAAAGGCATAAAAAAGCCCCCCCCCCAAAAAAAAATATTTTGAAGGGACACGTTGCAAACAGGTATTCCACAAAACAGACTTATAGCTTTTATGCACTCTTTATGTTTTGTTTATTTATCTCACTAGCCACACTCAGCAGACCAAATGAGATTGTTTACCCACAGACGCTTTAATTAAACAAACTCGTCAATATGCTGAATTTAATATTCCATTGCCTAGGAACAGGTATTTCTTTTTAATTTTGGAGGGACTTGTTACAAAAACAGGTATTGCGTAAGACATGAAGAACAGCTGATAGACAGAGAAACAGACCTCCAGGTGGAAATGGTAAATGGACTTGATCTTGTATTGTTCTTTTCTAGTCCTCTGACTACTCAAAGCACTTTTACAACTCAGGTCTTACCTACACATTCACACCCTGATGGTAGAGGTTGCTGTGTAGCGTGACCATCAGATGCATTCATACGCCGCCGACAAAGCAGTGGGAGCAATTCGGGGTTAAGTGTCTTGCCCAAGGACACATCGGACATGTAGCTGCAGGAGCTGGGGATCGAACCCTCGACCTTCCGGTTGAGAGACGACCGACTCTATTGGCGACTGTGGTTCAGGAAACTGTTGATGGGGAGAGAGACGCCAATTACCACCACAACCAGTCCCCAGATAAGAGGCAGAGCTTTGACCCATGACTTAATTTATTCTACTAAATGTGATCATTCAAAGGCTCAAGGATTGCAGCAAATGTAGTCCAGAGCTACTCCAGACAAACTTTCCCTCACGTACCGTAGCTTGGCAGTGCCGGCAGGTAAATGGAGTTTGGGAAAAGATTCTTTCTTAAACAGAGAAAAAAAAAAATAACCAGACAATAAAATCCCCTTCCCTGATCCACCACATGAATAAAAACCTCCTCATCTCCGGCTCCGCATTCTCTGTGTCTCCGAGCCTCGGCGTCTCCTCATGTCGGGTTTCCCACACAGGAGAAAAATCTGCAGGAAAAGTGTTTTACACATTAGTCTGATATGAGCCAACATAAACACATGGATCTGAAGGACAGCAGAATAACAGCAGCCCGTCCAGCATCTGGTTACACTCTCACAGCTCCTCCCAGACCTGACTAATCAATCACAGAGAAGAGCGCAGGCTGCTCCGCTGAAACCAACGCCTCAAACAACAAAGACACCTTTTGGCTGCTGGAGTGTCTCTTCTCTGTTTATGTGTTTTGATGGCTGTGGTGCAGTTAAAATACGACCCAGCCCTTCCTTGAGACTATCAGCTGATTGTGAAAAATACCAGCACCATCAGAGCCCTTCATCTTTTTTATCAGCTGGAATCTATGAAATGAAAACTAAATCCTCCATCGTTCACTCTGCGGCCTCCACAAACCAAACATGACTCTGTGCTCTGACTGCTGTCTGGAAAAGAACATTTAATACATCAAATAAGCTGTTTAATGTTTTAGTGTCCTAACACCGACCAAACGTTGACCTCTGACCTGCGGATCAGAGTGCACTCACATGGTTCCTTTTGGAGGTCATTTAAAGGGATACTTCACCCGTTGAAACATGAATCTGTATTGACATTGGGTCATATATGTAGAAATGTGAAATACATTTTGACGTTGGTGCCTTCTTGGCCGAGAAAAGGCAGAAAGTGTCTTTTTGGCTCATGTGGATGAAAGACACCAAATCCCAGAATGCACAGCACCGCAGGCCACTCCCACTAAGGTCAGAATAAGAATCATAAATCCTTTATTAATCCCAGAGGGAAATTCGAGCCTGTTAGCATAGCTTCCAAGCAACATGGTGGATGCTGAGTTTCGATCCCGGGAGTGAGTTCCCACCCACTGATCTGTGATTGGTCTGTAGCTTCAGTGGTCGAAAATATGAGGAACTAGCGTTGTAGTTTCACCCCGCTAACCTCAACAGCTTCCAGTGATGCAAAAATCGTCATTTTGCGTCACTGGAAGCTTAGAAATACAAAGATTTCCCATCTCAGTGGAAAATGAGGGCGGGATGCACAACCATTCAAAAATACTACCAGGTTTCTAATGACACAAAGCTTCATGCAAATGGGTGAAGTATCCCTTCAATTTAAAGATGATCCATGTTGATGTCCAGGTCAGAGGATTTGGATGTTTAACCAGACTGTGTGGAATTAAAATGTTTTATTTCACAACGTTGACCCGTCCTGTTTTCTCTTCAGATTTTAGGACACAAAGACCTGACGTCTCCGACACAGCGGTACATCGACAGCAAAGTGGTACGAACGCAGACGGAGGGAGAGTGGCTGTCTTTTGATGTGACGGAGGCAGTGAGTGAATGGCTGAACCACAGAGGTGAGAGAGACGAGCCCATCACCTTTTTCATTGGCTCTATGTTTAATTCTGAAACGTCACCTTTTACTGTTGTTTTGTCCACAGACAGAAACAGTGGGTTCAAGCTCAGCCTTCACTGCCCCTGCTGCACGTTTGTACCGTCCAACAACTACATCATTCCCAACAAGAGCGAGGAGCTCGAGGCACGCTTTGCAGGTAACATTGTCAAACAATACTTATGACATCAAGTAACACAACAACAAGAAATCATCTCCGACCACCTCCTAAGTTCACTAAACAAACCGTGTCACACTGATTCAAGTTTGTGGTAGATTTCCTTATTCAAAGCAGGGTTGGTAATTTTCAAATACAAGCATGATTTTGAAAGTAGCATTCCCTCAGTGCTCCGTCTGCACCCACCCCCTCCCCTCTGTGCGCCCTCAAAAGCCACGCCCTCAATTACATGCACGAGCGCCGTTGGTCCAGAAGCGGACTTCAGCTCATGCTTTGAGTGTGGGCTAGTGCACGCAAGAGGTAGAGAACGAGCAGGGAGACAGGGAGGCGTCTGATTGGTTCATCAGATTGGTACCTCGTTGCAGACATTGGTCAAATTTTTATAGACTTACAAACTGATACAGATGATGGATTTTCTTTGTTCCTTTTTCAGAGAACATGAGTTATTAATTTATTTCAGGACCTAAAGACAATTTCAACCAAAATCTAAAAAAGTATATCTAGAGAAAATTACCAACCCTGCCTTTAATGTACAACAGAGTTACATGATTATTCATTATTTTAAAGCATTCATCAACTAAGGGACACAGTTGTGAACAAATCTGCTGTTTAAAACTCAAACATAGGTTTTTATGAAGTACTTAAAGGCTTAATATGTGATTTTTCACACTTCAATGTAATAGAAATCAAGTATATCCTCTGAAAATAACTCTGTGAGTCATGACTGTCTACAATGGGTGTAACACCCGAGTCCCACTGTCTGTGATGTTTTCAGAGTTTTCAGAGTCCTATCTTCAGTTTGTTTACATCGTCGGGACGGCCAGCTGACTCCTCCCCTCGTGTATAAAAGTTGTTTAATTGAGGGACTAGAGAAAAGAAGAATAACATACTGTACTCACTGCTTAACTGTGTTTCTAGATCACGCTCATTTCACGTAAATTTACATGCAGTGTGAAGATACGACCATAATAAAGATCGCTAGCATTAGCATGCTAACACAACAATGCAGCGCGAGTTGTTTTGGTTTCATGCTGGAGCTCAAGGGCGACACCTGCTGGATCAAAAAAAATCACATATAAAGCCTTTAAGAAGACGTTGGTGAGAGAGGCCCAATCGATCTTTCTGTTGTGTTTCAGGTATTGATGACAGCTTCATCCATGATCTGAAAGTGTTTAAGAAACGGCGGCACAGTGCCCGAGCTCCACACCTGCTCCTCATGTTGCTGCCTTCCTACAGACTGGAGTCCCAGTCCCAGCACAAGACACATCGATCCAGGAGAGCTCTGGACGCCGCCTACTGCTCCAGGTACTCACCTTAAAATCACAACCCACGTCTATCCGGGGAGATTCTCATTTGTAGTTAAAAAAACAGTTTGAGTCACCACCGCCCTTCATGCCTTTGCAGGAATGTTCAGGACAACTGCTGCTTACGGTCTCTCTACATTGACTTTAAGAAGGACCTGGGCTGGAGGTGGATCCATGAGCCAAAGGGCTATGAGGCCAACTTCTGCGCCGGGGCCTGTCCATATCTGTGGAGCGCCGACACTCAGCATTCAAAGGTAAAGTAAGAGAACTCGGTCAAAGGTTTACCACAAACAGTACTTCAGGTGTTCTTCATGGTACGGCTCTGCTTCTTATCATTCCAGGTGTTAGGTCTGTACAACACCATCAACCCTGAAGCGTCGGCATCGCCCTGCTGCGTCTCCCAGGACCTGGAGCCCCTCACCATCCTCTACTACATCGGCAAGACCCCCAAGATAGAGCAGCTCTCCAATATGAAGGTCAAATCCTGCAAGTGCAGCTAGAGGCCCCGAGACGAGAAGCTGACCGGACTCTCTCTGCCCCTTCATTCACTCAAACGCAGACCGACAGAGAACTCCGGCTACATACAGACAAAGTGTGTGTACGCCCCCCTGATTCTACTCTCAGCAGTGTTTCCACACACAGGAGCGCCGTGTTGGGCATTACAGTTCACATCATACATGGCGAGTGCCATCATGAAACCACAAACCTGACTTTGACCGCCACCAGAGGTGCGGTGTGGAAGTACTTGGTCACATAGTTCACACTGCTTCAAGGAGCTCTTGCTGAGATCTTCATGACGAACTCATGAGTCCAGGCCACCTTACGTTCTGCTTTTCAAAGCGTTAGGAGATGTTTTGCAGAACGACTTTGGACGAACACACCAGCGTGGATGTCTGTTGCTGCAAACGTCTGAGTGACAATGTTCCTGTGTGGCCAAACAAACCCACACTGAATCCTGTTGGATTATGGTCCTACAGCAGCTGAAAGAAACATGAACAATGGACAATTTTTCACAAAAGGACCTGGGCAGCTTTACAGAGCCAGACGTTTTTAGATTTTTAGAGAACTCTCTCCACATTTGGCTGCTGACATGAGTTTATAAAACTGGTTTTAATGGAATGAAATACAATTGTACCATAGACTGTATATATGAAGTGGACGTAGCCACTGTGACTTCACCCGTTGGTTTATCGACATTATGAAGTCCCGAGCTTGGGTTCTGGGTGGAATGCATTTTGTTTTTTTGGTGCGAGAAGTGATGCTAAACTGGGCGAGAGAATGGATACAGGTGCATACTCAAGTTGACAAATTGCACAGGAAGCCCCGCCCCCAAGCTTTGTGGTCTTGAGAGCTCAACAGTGTGGTTCTGGAAATAAAAATCCCGTTCATTTTCTCCATAGCAGATTTTTATTATAAGCCATAATGTCATAACTATCCAAGGTAGACTAACCACAAAAGTGATCTTGGAGAAAAGAACTACACTTCCCACAATGCTAGAGTGCTGATTGACATCTCTAATGGGTGGCAAAGGGAAAACATTTTTTGCGCTGAATCAAATGTGTTATAGTCAGGAGTATTAGGGTAGCTGGTTTGTGTCCAGCATTGAAATGTCAATGGAGGATTTGAACGGGGAAATTTACTTCCAGAACAAGAGCCTCTGCAAAAGTGGACGGTCACTGTTGAGCTCTATTTGACTCTTAACGGGACCATTATTTTTTCAAAATGTCCATCATGCAGTGTTGAAAAAGTCTTGAAACTAGAGACCATCTCACCAAATCAGCTGAGCGGTAGAACCACTTTCTCATAGACTTCGATACGATCTGAGTCGCCCTCTGCTGGATGTTAGAAGAATTCAGGTTTTAGACACTTCTGAGTAAGCTTCAGTGTAAAAAACAAACAAAAGGCCACGCCCACTTTTTTTTATATACAGTCTATTGAAGCAGAATGTGATGAAGCCAGTTCAGCGCCTTTAGTTGTAATGCCGCTAATGGCCACTTGACACAGTAATAGGACGTTTTTGACTGTGTTTAAATGTCGTTTTAAATGTAGATCGCATCAGAAAATTCGGTCAGTATGAGTTAACTAAGACACGCTAATATCAGCCAAATAAAAGGAAAACAAGTTTAAGACAACAAAAATATTTGAAATATGTTTAAGGTAATTTAGAAAAAGTGGAAAACTATATGCAAGTTTTAATTTTTTAACTATCAAATGTCTGGTTTACGGCATGTCTGGGTCACTTTGATGAGCAAACAGACAGCCTTGTTATATTGTCAGTTTTCTGCACAAGGCTGGCTACACGCTAGACGGTGTCAGGTCGGATATTGGGTCCAATTCAGGCAAGCCACGCCCCGACGATATGGGGGCGTGGCCTGATTCGAGGCTTGTCTCAACTGAATATTTATCGAAAAATGAAAAAGTGTGAGGTGTCAATGCGATTATTGTAACGCTCCCGATCGGGTCTGAGCCTCCCCGATCTGGAATCATAAATACCAAACATGTTGGATGTTTACGTTTCCGGATCGTGCTTCTCCCAACGAATACCTGTAATAACCAATGAGAGCGAGCAGACCGGGAAGCGTCACCAACCCTAGATGTTGCGTTCTTTCACAGCTCACAGACATGGCAGCGAACAGAAAGCGCTTATAGCCTACCGTCTTCTCAGCCAGAATTTCAGCCATTCTCTTTTTGTTGTTTTTTTAGTTTTTCACTGCAAAACAGAACGCACGCCAGGACAGCCAGCTGACAACGTCATCCGTCCTCCATGTTTGCTTTTTCTCTGAAGGCACATGAATTTCTGTGAGATCTTGCAGGTCTGTCCTTATGTCGGTGGTTGCCTTAAGTTTTTTAAAATCAGTTAAGATTTAAAAAAACGTCTCGTGTGTAGCCAGCCTGAGACAGTGAAGAGGAAACTCTGAAATCACCTTCAGGTGGAAGAACACACGAGATGTGATGAATCATTAGCAGTGGTTTTAAAGGCTTTATATGTGATTTTTCACACTTAAATGTAGAAATCAAGTATATCTTCTGAAAATAACTCTGTGAGTCATGACTGTCTACAATGGGTGTAACACCCGAGTCCCACTGTCTGTGATGCTTTCAGAGTTTTCAGAGTCCTATCTTCACTTTGTTTACATCGCCAGGACGGCCAGCTGACTCCTCCCCTCGTGTATAAAAGTTGTTTAATTGAGGGACTAGAGAAAAGAAGAATAACATACTGTACTCACTGCTTAACTGTGTTTCTAGATCAGTTGTTTTGGTTTCATGCTGGTGCTCAAGGGCGACATCTACTGGATCAAAAAATCGCATATAAAGCCTTTAAAGTCGCGCCAACACATGAACTCTGACGCCACTGCACACACACACACACACACACACACACACACACACAGTTCACGCACATGCAGAGACACACACAGACACGTCTTCAGCACAGGTTGGTCTGTGTACCTGCATCACCTCACACAAACACAAAGCAAAGACAAACACTGGAAGTATAAGTGATAAGTGTCTATATGTGAATTAATCCTTAAATAACACCTCCAGCCCTCTGTTCACGCCTCCTCCTGCGTACATGTATACATAGATAGATAAACTTTATTGATCCTCATGTCTGGGTTTTTTTTCTTGTATTGTATCTCTTTTTCTTTTTTTTTTCTAAAACTGTCCATGCTCTGTTATCTTTGTAATTATTAATATTTATGATGTTCTGGTTCAGCGTCCTGTAAATTCTGACCCCTGTAGAGAGCGGATAGGTCTACCTTCACACTGCTGATGTTTATTATTTGTTTATTTTTGTCAGATACAGACTTTAGAAAAATTATACATTTAAGGGAAAGCCATCAGAAGAGAAAATACATCACATAACTCTGAAGAATCTTTTGGGTTTTTTATTATAACAAAGCTCTCGTTTTCATTTCTGTGAATTCATCAGCAGACGTTTGTTTTCTGTGTTTTAGAGGAACGAACATTCATCTCTACCATAGTGCACGGTTGAAACATTACTGTACACGTCATAATCAGGAGGTTACAGTTTTCATTTTCTTATCCAATATCTAGAACATCATGATCTTAACCGTGGAGGCCGCTAACCTTCAGAAAGGAACAAGCTGTGTGAACAACAGAGATCAAACCTGAAATGGTGGCTAGAAGTTTGAGCTAATTGAATTTATTATATAACCCAAATATTAAAGGTGGAGTCAGCAGAAATGTTTGTTGCAGCTTGTAAACACAACATTCAAACTGGCCTCTCGCTCTCTGGAGGATGTAGTTCGTACGTTCACTGCTTGTACCTACACTGCAAGCTACCCGCATGCTAGCACAAGCTAACCACCAGCGAGGGGATATTGCAGGTGTTTGGCACCTCACTATTATTCTACTTTCGCTTCTTTAGCGTTTCATCCATGTCAGTCATATTTGCTGGTTTAAATCACGTCCAATAGCTGAATTGTATCCCCTCTTAAACACACCAACTCTCCACACCCAGAAACGTCCTAGAGTCAACACAAACCAATCTAAACGTGAGTGATGATTGAAAAGCTGCTGACTCTACCTTTAAAATTTTTTCTAATAACATCTTGATTTAGAATCAGCATCATACATTCTTTGAAAACAAACAGGAAATATGACAGATTATTAACACCAGACGTCACCAGATTAAATAATCCTTGACAGATTCACAGCTACAGGAAGTGACATCACTGTCAGGCTCCTCATGACAGGTGCTATGATATGAAAGTTACACAGTTTACAGACACACTTTTAACGTTTGTATTATTCACTCAGTGCGCCTACTTTTAGCTAAAACTCAGAATTCAGTGATTATGATGATATCTAGCGTTGTGCTAATTCTCATGTGAGTGAGGGGCGGGGCTAACCTGGACAGGTTGACGGTCAATCACATTTGCAACAGGACCCTGAACAGGGAAAAAAGATATCAGTGACGATCTGGGATGATCCTATGGCAAGCCGTGTCAACATGTAAAGCTTTTCTGCTAGTCAGAGCTGCACGTAATCTCACTTATAAGAAGATATTCACAATAACATTCTTACTATCCACGATTGAAATTTCAGGTTTCATCCACCACATTTCTTCTACGACAGATAACCTCACTTTTGGGCTTTCGGTTTCAGATATCTCCCAACGGTTTTTGGATTTCTATCCCCCGGTTACGGCCTGACACGCCCACTGCACGCATGATGATTTTACAATGATATTTATGGTCTTGGTCTTGGTCTTGGTCTTGGTCTTGGTCTTGACTCAATCTCGATCCCTAAATGTTTTGGTCTTGTCTCGGTCTGGTAGCACTCTGGTCTTGGGTATGTCTTGGACTCGGTTAGTGTGGTCACTGGACTACAACATTACTGCACATATCTCAATTGTGGATAGGAAGAATATTATTGTGAATATCCTCAATGCTTATTTTGACATGGAAGAACTGCATCGCATACATCTGTAATCTATCTCCGTCTAGCTTTTGATGTTAAAACTGCTTGCCACAGTGTCATCAGCGTATCATCCAATTGTCATCAGTGTGTCAAATATTTCATTTTCTTCCTTGCAGAGTTGCACTGATGCTGATTTTATTTTATATTGTAGAAACGTTACCCCCTCTCCACCAGTGTCAGCAGAGCGTCTCGACTCTGTCACAATAGAGCTGTTATTAAAATTCATATGTTTTTGTTGTTATGATGATGACGATGATGAAGAGCCCGTGCTGAAGTGTAACACACACGTGGAGCTCGGCTGGTAAATAAATTATTTAAGTCTGAAGGGATCCTGATGTTCTGCGTTTGTTTGGGTCTCGTTTGTTTGTCTGAAGTGAAATTTAATCTGAGCTCTGCAGCGTGTGTCCTTACCTCCTCTCTGGAAACTTTTACCCTCGTCCTCCTCTCTCTCTCTCTTCCTCCTCTTAAATACCTCAAACACAAATACCCGGCTCAGGTTGCTTCACCTCTGTTAATTGATCGGGCCTCATAACATGCGATGAGATCAAAGAATGTGTGTTTGGTTTCAAACTAAAGAAAGGGACGCAGATGCTAATGCTGAGGTTCAAATGAGTGTGTGTGTGGTCTGCAGTGGACACAAACAGGTAATGTGAACAATGTGTTGAAAAGTATAAAATTACATTCTGTGTTTTTACCAAAAGGAAGTATGGACTGATCTAAAGCATCCCAGTTTCTCCTTACACAGACCGGATCAGAGCAGAATCAGGAGGTCAGACTGCAGACTGGACACGGGTCAATCATTAGACTGAAGCTGACTGTATGATAAAGTGACAGCAGAGTATGCTTTCTGTCCTCTCTCACTTTCTCTGTATGAGGGGTAAGGACTTCATGTCAGGACAGAGACACATCGCCTAGTCCACACTGACATCTTTAACACATCCCTGCACCAGGCTGTGGATCCAGAGTGCCTCAACTCACCATTAGTCCTGCATTGTGTCTGAATAGATATCACCACCATATCTGAAAACAATCATTAAACTGCTTTGGTCAGAACCTTCCCCAAAGACAACCTGCTGCATCCCGACTTCCCCTGACACCACTAGATGATACAGACTAGTGAACATAATGCACCTGCACTTTCTTTTAATATATGTACCCAGCACACAAGTGCATTATTTATACAGAACGTTTAGTTCTTAAAAATGACAATGCGTATTTTTCAGTCATGTGTCGGTCTTGTCCACAATTTATTTATGTTTTTTAATGTGGCAAATCTAAAGAAAAGAAAAGTTTGATTCCTATGCATGCAAAGTGTCTGATTCTGAGGTGAAAAATACCTGTAAATTCTTCATATTCTTGGCGTAGCAGTGTGCCTATTCTCTTCAAAAGACAGAGATTTCAAAAGTATTCTGGATGTTACTCAGAGTACTGAGAGTATCCTGGATGTTACTCAGAGTACTGAGCGTATCCTGGATGTCACTCAGAGTACTGAGAGTATCCTGGAACTGACACAGAGTGCAGCGAGTTACCTGTATGTTGTGCGAGTCAGTGCGTTTGTTTGTTTGGATGCGTGCAGCCAAAGAATTCCTGTAGCGGTAATTTGACAGAACCTGATACCATCCTGTTCTGGTTTGCCGTGCGTCAGTGGAGACTGAAGTGTTGTCGTACGTTTGTAATAACACAGAGAGGCCGGCACTCCTTGAGCTCTGGATTACTGAATGTTTTTGTGTTTGACACATAAATTAGGGGGGAGAGGTGGAGGATTGTAGGGGGAGGTATTGAGGTAGCCTGAAGTAATCAGATTTTTCTCCTTCTCCTTTCTTTCCTGTGCTGCCCTGTTCTAAGCCTGACAGGCGTCTTGAAGAGATCATTTTGGAGAAACAGTCAGGAAGGCGGCTCAGGATATTCAATCCCTGCAGCACCAGTCTGCCTGTCTGTCCGATATTTAAATCAAGTTCAGTTCATCATACGAAGACTTACAGCTGAGATGGAAGGTTTCTCTCTATTCCTGACTTCACAATAATAATCAATGCATGAAATTATCCTACAAAGAGGGAATAAGTGTCCGATCATTTGAATCTGACCTATCTTCCCCTCTCTCTCTCTCTCTCTCTCTCTCTCTCTCTCTCTCTCTCTCTCTCTCTCTCTCTCTCTCTCTCTCTCTCTGGTAATATGAGGCCGTTCACGTTCCTGGGTTTTGGGGGGAGGGGTTTCTGATGGAGGTCTGAAGGGAAAGTGCTCTGAAAGATTGAAAAAAAAAAGACGAAGCAGGAGAATTTAATTTACAATAACTTAACAAGAAATATATTTGTGTCCATGTTCAGTTTCAAACATGTATCTTATCTTTCAGGTCTGTAACAGCCAGTAGAAGTAGAACCTAAACTTAAGACTCAATGATTTTAACACCTTTCATTATTCCGAAGTTTCTGTATCCCGGGCCGAGCTGATACGCTTCAACATCCAGACCCCCTAGCGTATGAGCACCAGCATGAAACCAAAACAAACTGCTGTTTTTGTGTCACCTCCGCTATTATGGCGCCTCCGCTCTCCTCCAGCGGCACACGTCCAACCCCTCTCAGCTCGCTGTGG